CCCACAGTGACTACTGTTGTTGGGGTAAATACCTCAGAGGTGAAGGAACCTCCAGCCCATGGTGGTAGCCTTTAGGGCTAAGAGGCTACTTTTTCAGCCTCAAAGTCACTCAGATACAAACCCTAAATTTTTTTTTAATTTCTCCTTTTCATTGAATGACAAGAAATATTGGGCTAATTTTTTCCCTTTCTTCAATTTTGACCTTCTAGTTCTTTCTCCACATCTATTCTGGATCTGAAATCTATAAGTTCCTAAATGTCAACTCTGAAAATAAAACATAAGGGTAGAGACTGCCATTTTTCTATCCAATTACTTATTTATTTTTGTCTTTCTAAAAATACCGTTGACAGTGTACAATTCAGAACATTCAAGCGTGCAATCAAAAACTTTCCAGACATGCTAAAAAGCAAGAAAGTGTGATCCACAATCAAGAAAAAATATGAATCAGTACACTGATCCAGAAATAAACAAGACTCAGAAGCTGCTCATAGGCAGCTAGGACTCTCCAGTGTAGTCTCCTTTGGGTGGCATTTTCATATGCCTTATTATGTCAGTAAAACACATCTCTTGATCTTATATAATCTAACTAGAGGCCCGGTGCACGGATTCGTGCACTGGTGGGTCCCTTGGCCTGGCCTACGGATATCCTCCTGGATTATGAGAGAGCGCAGGCCAGGCCAAGGGACCCCACTAGTGCACGATTGGGTCTGGGGAGGGACTGCTGGAGGGCTTCAGGACATGTATGGCTGTCTCACCCAGTCCTGATTGGCTGGACCCCAGCAGCAAGCCAACCTAACGGTTGGAGCATCTACCCCCTGGTGATCAGTGCATGTCATAGCTACCAGTGGAACAGTTGCTTAGGCTTTTATATATAGAGATTGAAGGCCACGCCACAGGCTGTAGAGATAATTCATCAGGTCCCCATATTGGGCTGCGTTCATATTTCTAGTTTTGTTTGTGGAAATCTGAGTAAATGCGATTACTGATTTTTATATTTTTCAACAGCACTGTGTTACCCAAGCACAACATCTCAGGAACCTAATGTGGAAAAAATCAGGGATGCTGGAGGTGAAGGACTGAGGATGGTGCCTGTTGGTTCCCCAGTTGAGCTAGTCCATGCATCACAGGAAGTCCTGGAAGTCACAAGAAATTGTGGAGAGCCCTTCTCCCCAAGAGCTCATGCCCCTTTGAATAGATGCCCTGAGCAAGTCCGGCTGGTTAGTAAAAATAGTTTGGCTTTATGGACTGTGCCAGGCAGTGGCTAATTGTAGGCTTCAGCATAATATTGTGAAGACACTAAGAGTTCCAGAGTTCTCTGTTATCCTGTCTCATTTCTGGATTGAAACAAACTTTATTTTCCCTCAAACCTTGTTTTCTCCTCTTGGATCCTAGAATGCTGATGCTGCAAACGAACAGGTGAGACCCCCCGCATGCCACCCGTGAAGTGCAGTGAGAGTCAGCATGCATCTGGATAGTGGAACTGCCAAGAGGAATATATGCAAACCTGGTGCTGACCCACCACAGTGTTACATGTCATAATGTTAAAAATGACGCCAGACTGGTTTGGCTCAGTGGATAGAGCATCGGCCTGTGGACTGAAAGGTCCCGGGTTCGATTCCGGTTAAGGGCATGTACCTTAGTTGCGGGCACATCCCCAGTGGGAGGTGTGCAGGAGGTGGCTGGTCGATGTTTCTCTCTCATCGATGTTTCTAACTCTCTATCCCTCTCCCTTCCTCTCTGTAAAAAAATCAATAAAATATATTTTAAAAAAATGTCTGCAGTAGGTTTATTCCCCAGATGAGAGCAGTGGAGCATCTGTTGTGTTGAGGTGAGGGGTATTAGGGAATGAAATTGAGAAGCCCTGGTAGGTTGATAGTAGTCATTCCCCTTATTACTTTATAAAGACTGAAATATAGAAATATAATAGAATAAGTTGTATTTTTTTAAAAAGAAAGTTTGGCTTTGATATAAACCCTGCCCTGACTCGAGTGTGGCTGGCCAAGAACCACTGTTTAGAACAAGAGCAGACAGAGTGGGCTTTTGGGGCACTTCTGACCATCAATGTGGAGTCACTGTTCGCCAGGACAGTTATGTCAAGTACTGTGTCCAGACCGAGGGAATGGCGTGTAACGCACCACACAAAACCACAGCCTGGACCCCCGCATAAGGACTCCACCTGGACACCCATAGGAGTGGGGCCCGCTTCTCTCTCCATCTGCGGACCCTCCAGTGGCTGGGAGTCTGCGCCTGATGATCTCGTGTACGGAAGGCTCCCCCTCTCTGTGTGTGACCTGCGTGTGATTCTATTGGCTTCCCGGGAAGGTCTCCCCTAAAATACCGCGAGTGACTCTGGCGGGCGGCCCCTAGCTGAGGACAAGCACACTCAGCAAGGCGAGGCGCGCCACAAGTTACCCGCTCCCCTCCTCCCCGATGCCTCCGCCCGCAGCGTCCCTTTCCGGGCTCGGGTAGGGGGTGGGAGGGGAGGATCAGC